ATAAAATCAATTTTATATATATGAAATAATAATTTTCGTGAAATAATTTCTTTCAATTCAATATATTGTTTATATCATACAAAAGGGAGTAAGTTTTTAAAAAATGAGCATTTATAACACAATTAATTTTAAATAGTTTATATATTGGGTGATATAAAAAGTTTCCACCATGTTTTGGTATATTCTTGAACCAAAATTTTTTTATTTAAAATTAATTTTAATCAAGTTTATATTGGCCATTATTATATTTGACCATTCACCATTTTTCAAATAGATTCATAATTCTATTCGTGTAAAACTTCTGTGGTGTATTGGCGAGGAACTTGACCAAGTGATTTTTATCGACTTCGATTAGCTAGTTTTTTAACCATTGAGAGAATTTTTCGTGGATGCATCAACTTCCTTAACCAGTTCCGTTAACTTCTTTCAAATCATCACAGATGTATATGGCCTGTCATTTTCATAATGGAACTTACCTACTTTGGCCAACAGCCTATTCTAGTCGCTTTTTCTTGATTGGAATAATTCGTAATAGACAATTTCTCTCCAACATCATCAAACAATATCAATATTAATATTATTTTATTTCCCATAAATCCAGGATTTGAAATCATTTGTAGAGGGTCACTGGTTTTTTATCATAATTACTTGCATTGGATATTACACAAATTTTTTCTATTTTTTATCACCCTTATCGACTTGTTACAAAAATAATTTAATTTCTTTGCGTTTTAGCAAATTGAAACGTCTTTGCGTACCATACTCTTTTCAAGTCATTTCATCATATGGTTGATATTCAATACCTACGCTATCTCCTGACAACTTTTGTGTTGGTCTTACTCCACCAACTACAAAATTTCATAGGCGTTTTAAGTGACTGGCCGATCAGAGCGACATATATCTTTGACATCGAAATTTCGGGAACAGAATTGAGCAAATTCACTCCTCCCGAATCTAACATTTACTTACAGCATCGCCACCTCTAACCTTTTTTTGACATTATTGGATTAGTCCTGCCACATATATGGATACATTCAATCCTATTTAATTTATGTATAGTATGACTTATAATTATATTGATTTCGACTAATGAGAATTGTAGTGTGTATAGATATTTTAAAAGATATGATTTTAATGGTTTAATAAAATTCTTTACTTGATATAATATATAGTTATGAACTGCTATATATTCAGATTGTTATACTTATAATATAGATGTATTATATATATTACATTTTTATAAAACATATAGAAAAAACATTTTTATAGCTCACACATATGTATGTACCTAAACCATAATCATTAATTTTAGTGCTACAACTGTAATTAAACTTTCATGAATTCTTTTAGGAATGTTAATTGAAATTGCCTATGCCTTTCATTAAAACTATGTACAAACTAAGAGGTTTTCTTACAAAGAGCCTTTCACATTTTAACTAAGAATAGAGCTTTATAACTTCAAACCATAAAATCGAAATAAAATTCTCTGCTATAGTATATTTTTAAATAAAAATCTACTTTTAAGTAATTTTATACGATAGACAAACAGCATTGAACTGTGCTTAGGTAAAGAACCTGTTGCAAATATTTACCTAAAACTCAGAAATGATTGTAAAAGTTTAAGAGTAGGTGTAGCTCTGAGTTGAACTTAAAGAAGGAGCGGTTAGCTGGGTTCAGCTTTTACGATCTGAAATCAAATGCAAAACAAATTGAGAATTAAACAAACCGCACTGGCCTTTAACGTAAAACATATTTAGCTTATCTGCTTTGAAAAATTTTAATAAAAAATAAAATTAAAATTTTGCATTGTTTGCGTAATAAAAATAAATGTAATTCTTGAATAACTTAAAATGAAAATGTTAGAATATATACTTGTAAATAATATTCTCTTATATATTCGAAAACAATCTTATATAATATATATACACATTTCGTTTCTAGTTTAGCAAAAAGGAGCAGCAAAAAAGGTCAAACTAAGATTCTTCAGTTTTCACGTCAAAATTAATAACTTATGGTGACGATGTAATTATATTTGCTAAGGTCAAAAACATCATCTCTCAGAACAGGCTCTTCTTAAACGCAACCACAAAAAAGCAACTTTCTATCTTCCTTTTCTTTACTTTTATTATGCATAACCACAATATTACAATATTCTAACCCCCTTCTTTTGATTCCCTATTTTTTAAATTAATCACAAAATTAACACTTTCCATCTCATTTCTCAGAGGAGAAGATTTAAAACATTTGCAAACCATACAAAATTCTTTGCAATGATTTTAGATGAGAGACTGAGTAAGAAGTTCAAAAGATATCCCAGAGTATATACCTTAGAAAGATCAATGTGCACATGTTAACGAACCACTAAAATAAGATAGGACCAACAGGCTATTTCATTTCATTGGACTAAACTGGAAGTTTATAGTGGAAACCTTAACGAAGTTCAACATCAAATACACTTTAAACAATGTTTGAACTTCCTCCGGTCAAACATTGCACAGTGCAGAGTATATTGTAAATTGTAAATTAATAGAAAATATTACGTATCTTTTGGCCAAACCAAATTTCTATTCCACAGTACGAATACAAATGACATCAACATAAATATCCACAAAAGAAAGTTTGGCTGGATTGGTCATACCTTACGGAAGCCTTGATTGAAATTTGTTTTCAAGCCCTTACTTATAATTCGCGAGGCAGTTAAAGAAGAGGAAGGTCTAAGCTCGCCGGACACAGATCAACACTAAACGAAATTAACAGTCAATCCAAGCACCTTGGCAGATCATACATCCATATTGTTGAGTTCAGAGAAGTGGCAATCAGAAGGCAAAGATGGAGGCAATTTGTAGATAGCCTATGCCCAGTATAGACGCAGCTTGCAATCATGTGATGTCAAGCAAGGCTTAATAATAAAAATAATATAAAAGATTAATGGAAGTTGATAATAACTAGCACATTTACTACTTCCTATGGCCGACTCTCATTTGATCAACACTGAGAGAACTGAGTAATCTACTTTACTTTAATCATGAGAGCCCTTTTTTGTTTGAAGTATAACTGAACGGATATCGGAAAGTCATTTCTCCGTCTGTTGTGGTCTTTGACCAGAGCTAAAAAAATGTTTGGTGTGATTATCTATTATGTTGAACAGCATGGACTCATTACTGCTATGTCTGCGGTTAGAAGAAATGAAATGATTGCAAGAAAATGATTGCAACCATATTAGAGGTTCTTAACAAAAATGCAACTAAAACTTTTATTTTAAAGATTGTTATAAGAATGAACCTGTTTAATCTAAATATTTCCTAATAATATAATAATACTTAACTATTAAATTAAAAACAATTTTAATATAGTTTGAAATAAAGGTAACTAAACTGTGAAAGTCATAATGACCAATAACGCATGAGTTTTAACCTCAACTCTTAAATTTTATTTTTTATAATATTTTAATATATCAGCTTCGAGCAAATTAAATTATTAATATTTTTCTTTAATGACTTTTTGCAACATAAACCTATTAATAACCTAACGGACCCTTCACTGGTTCCAAGAATTTCCAATTAAATGGATTTTATCTTATTACCTAAGAATGCTATATCTCTCTATAACATACCTATTTCTGTGTGCTGTACTTTAGGCTTTCACAAAACCACTTGTCTAACTGACTTAGTACTGAAATGTCAATTCTTGGTAATTAAAATGCAGTGAACCATCTCAGATATATATATGAAAATGTTTTCATATTTTTATTTTATCACGGAAATCTTTTAACTTTCTTGCGTAGCTAATGTAATTAGTAAAAATATTTATTATTAGTTTTTTACAATATTACAATATTGTATATGAGAGCTTGCGATTTTGTGGCTTCTCGCAACGTTTGGAATAGTTGTAAGCGAAAAATGCGCATAAGATTTAAACACAGGTAGACATAAATAAAAAATTTTTACTGAACATTAAATCTAATACGTTAATTAACTTTAGTTTGCAATATATTTTATGACACTAAAACTCATAGCTAATATTTAATATTTTTTTTTTTTCAACTGAAAAAATTGCTTTTGTTATTTATAGGATATTTCAAAACTTCCTAATTAGCACTTTCAAACTAATTTCATTTTAATATTTTACTTAACAGCATAATTTAAATAGCTCATATATTTGAGCATATAATTATGAGTTAATCTATAAATATATGCAACCGACGATTTATATAAAAAAAATTAATGAGTTTAAAACGAAAATGTGTTTATCTACAATTAAATAGAATAACCGGCATATTGTGAGTAAAAGACTGCGGAAGACTTGTATTCGTTGGTACAAGAGATACTATTAAAATATTACTTAAAACTATTACATTAGTGAGATACAAAATTACTAGGAAAAGTTTAAAGTTAAGTTAAGTACATTGGCAATATTATCAGATTAACTTCAGCACCTTTTTCCTCACTAAGTGTTTGATGACACATGAATAAAAATTAACAAAAAATAATAAACACATAATAAAAAAATTTTTAATAAAAATTATTATTATTATTTGTTACTTAAATCAATTAAAATTAAAAATAAAATTGTATTAAAATAATATGTGTAAATTATTTGAATTATTTATCAATAATTTATAGAAAGTGATTAACAGCCTGCTTTAAACAAAAGTTCAAACCTCACTGATCTGTGCGATTCACAAAAAGTATATATATAGTAAAAGTATCTACGACTTTTACTACTTACTACAAACATCTATGTGCCAAAGCAAATCAATTCTTATCTAATAGTAATTTAACTTTGCGGTTTATGATGCAAATATCGACAATAAAAAGTATTTGAACTGTAAAGTTACAATCACTTCTCCTATACAGAATAGCTGTTCATTTGTAGGTACAAACTGCAAAATAAATTTA